GCATATATCATTTGTTATATAGCTGTAGACTTATAAAGTAGTCTGTATTTTATTCTGGTTTATTTTTATGCTTATTGTTTATTTATACATTTAAAATAAATTTTGGTTATTTACTTATTCTATATTCAGAGATTGTGGTTCATCTCAATTCAAGATTTAACACCAGTTTTTGTGAGGATGCTCTTAGCTTCAAGTAATAGAATGCCAGATGACAGTAGCTTAAACATTACAAAATTAAGAACACATGTTTCACGTAAGATTTCCAGAGGTAGGTAGTTCTAGGATTGGTATGGCATCTTCGCATTGTCATCAGGGACCCAGGCTTTCTGTCTTTCTGCCTTGCTTTCTTCAGTATTTGGGTGATAAGCCCTTTCCCATTTGTGTGGCTGCTGCAGGGTCTGGCACCGTGTTTTCATCAGACTGAGACTCCTAGCATGAAGAGAGGGAGTTGGGGCCAAAGGACTTATTCTTTGAGAAGCTTTCCCTTTTATTGGAACATAAAAATCTTTTCCAGAGGCTTCCAGTAAGCTTTTTTTTAATATCTCATGGGCTAGAACTGGATCACATTCCCACCCTAGCTAGGCCATCACCAGCAAAGAGAAATAGGACTGACATGATTGGCTTAGGACAATCATGATTCATCCCCTGAGATAGACATACTGCCCTCTAATCAGAGATGTCCATTAGCAAGTTAGAAGTAGAAATTCCTATTGCATAATAAACAGCAGTGTCTGTCTTTAGACACTTGACAACTGTACTTACGTGAGATATAGACATTTTATTTAGTGAAAAGGAATATGGGTGTTGCATGGTGCTTTGGTGACTGTTTTCAGCTGTTGTAAGAGTCAGTGAGTGGATTTACAGCAAGAAATCAAATAACTTCTTTCCTTCATTTTGAAGAGGATCCTGAAACTTCTCTTGGGCAAGAAAATAAATGCACGCCAGGCATGGTGGTGCACGCCTGTAGTCCTGGCTACTCGGAAGGTTGAGGCAGGAGGATTGCTCTAGCCCAGGAGTTGGAGGCTGCAGTGAGCTGCGATTGCACCCCTGCACTCCAGCCTCAGCAACAGAGTGAGGCCCTGTCTCTTGAAAAAAAAAAAAAAAAAATTAAAAGAGAATAGAAATGCCTGAATCAGTATAATTATGCTAATGTGAATTTTGTTTATTATTTTGTAGTCAGAATCTGGAGAAGTGAACAGAAGCACGGAACTGAAGAAACTTCAGATTTTTGGGGCTGGGCCCAAGGTTGTGGGCCTGGCAATAGGAGCAAAAGATAAAGAAGGTAAAATCTGTTATTGGTCATGAAAAGAAGTAAGGTACAACAGTATGGTTATAAAAAGATTCAAATGGTACTTGAATTGTAGTCTGTGCTAGGAATTTCTTAGGAATTGTAAAATTGCAGCATAGTTCCTGGTTTCTGTGTCAGATATTTTAAATTTAAAGTGTGAAAAGCAATATTATGTTGAATGTTTATGATTTTGGAAGAGAGAATTTTCCTTCTCCATGGCTACTATATGACAGAGAAATTTATTGTGGTTTCTAAAGGCTAGTTTATGAGAGAATGGTGAAATAAATGGTTCTTACCTAGTGGTCTACAGCTTACAACTTTTAAATTCAAAGGGAAACAGGATTTTCTGACCTTTAGTATCAACATTTACTGGGATAACTTAGAACTTTTAAATTCTAACCATAATTTTGAGTTTTTAAAAATTGCCCTTGATATATTATACTTCATTTAAATAAACTGTGTTTTCTTCAGAAAGCCTAGTACTCTCAGCTTTCCATGTTTGAAACTTTTTTGTGAGTAAAATTGCTAATGCAAAGATCAAGTTCCACTATTTTCCCTATGTAACATGTCATTTTTAAAACTCAATTTAACAAAGATTATATTGGATATGTTTTGATTATATAATAACTTAGTGAAATGCTACAGTTACAAGTCATGTTAAGTATTACCATGCTTTATGATATGGGTAGTTAAGGCATAGTGGACAGAACTGTAGAGGATCAGATAATATTGTTCCATTTCTTTCAAAACATTCCATGTGATAGGATTTACTAATACATTATAGTGATTATTATTACCCTTTAAAGAATTAGTATTTCACTTTTTTTGGTACTGTATTGGCTGGCAATGATCTTAAGAATTAGTCCATGACTAATTCGAGAGTCCCTGCAAGTAATACATACATGTAGTATGTAGTAAGTACTGCATACAAGGATAGCATTACTGGTTAAGGCCCCTCGAGCTTGATTGCTGAGATTAGAATCCCAAATCTGCCACTGACTGGCTGTGTGATTTGGAGCAAGTTATTAACTCCTTTATACCTCAGGTTCTTTATCTTTAACGAGAGATAATATATATCTACCTCATAGTGTTGTGAGATTTGAACTAATTTAAGTAATTTTAAATAGTGTCTGGTCCATAGTAGGCTTTCAACATTAGTTTTTACTATTATTATGTAACTTTCTATTTCAAGATGAGGTCACCAGAAGACGAAAAGTTACCAACAGGTCAGACACATTTAACATGCAAATGAGACAGCGGAAAGGAACGCTCTCTGTTAACTTTGTAAGTGTTTTGGGATGTGTCAGGAGGGAAAGGATTCATTTTTATTTTAGTTTTGTGCTTTTTATCTTGGCATATCTTGGTATGTGGTTTAGTTAGCTATTTGGTTAGAAGACTTGATGATAAATCTATGAAGTTGCAGCTTTGGTGCTGCATGTAGTATTAACCTTGCTTTGTCCCTTACATGCAGACTGTTTCCCCTAAGTCATGCACTTTATGAGTAACTGAGAGAATTAACATGAATCTGTGTAAATTGTTGAGTTGTATTACAGTGTTCAGTATTCATTCTCTACCAAGGAGTTTTTTTTGTTTGTTTGTTTTGGGTGGTTTTGTTTTTTTGAGACAGAGTCTCGCTCTGTTGCCTTGAGTAGAGTACAGTGGCATCGTTGCAGCTCAC